GAAGCTAAGGCTTAGCTTAGGTGTACACAGTAGGTGACAGGGGGAGTATCAAATTCAAACCTGTCTGGCTCCATAGCTGCTAAACAGCAACAGCTGTTTCCAAATGCTCTGGCCCACTAAGTGAGGACTTGAGCTACAGTCTCATTCTTCCTTGTTTCAGGAAGGAGAAGGTCAGTGTACAGGCAAGCGGATGAGTGCTCATTCGGTGAGTTGGGATGAGCTAAGCCAGGCTGGGCCTGCAAGGACAGGGCGCTGAGGAGGTCCTAGAGCCAGAAGTGGAGTCTGTTCATCCCCCATCTCTGGGGTCTCCCTTCTCCTACAACTGAAGCAGCAAGTGCCCTACAAAATGCTCACACATGCACGTGCCTGCACGGGTGCCCTCACATGCGCGCAGAACAGTTGTTTTGGATCAGTGATCTCTGTGCATGCCCTGCCCAGTTGTTTGACCTGGCTTCCCCTCAGGGAATGAGCCCCCCGAGGGTAAATTATAACTATCATTCCTAAAACAAATATTTATTATTAAGCATTTTTTATATACCTATAACTTTTCTAAGTTCTGGGATACAACAGTCGAATAAAATGAAAATTTTGCTCCCTCAGAGCTTTTCATTCTAGCAAGGAGAGAGACAAAAGTTTATGTTGGGATGCTATGTGCTAGGAGGGAAAATAAAGCAGTGTGAAGGAATGGAAGAAGGTGGAACTGGATAATCAGGATGGCCCTCCGAAATGGGGACATTTGAACAGAGACCTAAATGAGGGGAAGGAGGGAGAGCCATGTGCTCATCTGGGGAGAAGAATAGTAGGCAGAGGGAACAGCCAAAGGCTAGCAAAGGCTACAGCTGGAACAGGACTGGCCAGGGGGAGGGAGAGCAAGGAGAGCAATGTGGCCACAGGGAGGTGGGTGAGTTTGGATTGGTAGCATTGGGCATCATGAGGTAGCCAGGACCAGAGAGTGTAGGACAGCATAGGCTAAGGTTCTTAACTATCATGCCACTGACTGGCTTCCAGTCTGGAGACACATTTGCCTGGCCTCGGCCTTGGAGCTTCCCCGCCTCTGGTCTGGGAGAGAAGATGTCCCATAGGGCTGAACCCACAGGAAGTCATGCAGTCTGAAGTGAGAACACATACACTCATGTGAGCGAGGGCTGCAATGACTCACCAGGACTCCCTACCTTCTCTTCTAGAGTTTAAGGGTGGCCTCCCACTCCCCAGGAGTTAGATCTCCCACTCCCCAGGAGTTAGATGTCCCCAAGAGTTTCTGGCACCAGGGTCTGCAGCATTTCTCCTGCAAACACAGCATCTTCTGGGAGTGCCCTTCTCCCATGAACCTCTGCCCCAAGAATCCTAGCTACTTGTCAGGATTAGGGAAGAATTGGACCAGTGGTACAAGTATATAAAAATGGAAATTTTGCTTTCAGACACTATTTGGGTTTTTTTCTGAAGTAAGGACAAAGAAAATTTATACTTCTTAACCCATATGGTATGCATATATCCTATCATGCATTTCCTTCAAGAAAATCAAAAACAGAAGCTGTTATTTGGAGTGATAAAGGCATCAAATTAGACCCCCATGGCACCATAAGTATGGTGTTACCTCTTGAGCTGTCACTGCCCACCCTGGTAGCTCCTACCGTTTGTCATTCGGTTTCCCAATTCTCAGGTTTATAATCTTTTGGGCTCAGCAGAGGTTTCTATTTGGGGAATATACTTATGCATTCATGTCTAATAGGTACTTCCATCTTAAAATGGCCAAGGCAGAACTCCTGATTTTCTCCCCAAGCCCATTCCTCCCCCAGGCCTTCTCAACTTCATAAATAGAACTGCTGTCCACCCATTGCTTGGAGAATCAGTTTTGATGCCCATTGCTCCCTCCCTTATGCACAGTGCATCATGGGCCCTGAGCTCCACCTCACAGCATGTGGCCAGCCCACTCAGAGCCCCTGTGCTGTCCTGCCTGGCCTTTGGCAGTGCTGTAGCCCCCTAAGCCAGTCAGTCCTTCCATTTTGCCCTTGTCATCCAGCCTTCGGAGACAGCAGCCTTTTCATGTGTAAGTTACAGTATCACTTCCTCCCTGAAACTCTCCAGCAGCTTCTCAGCATATGCAGACTCCTAACTCTGCACCAAGTCCCCAAAGCTGTGCCTTCCCTTCACCCTCCAGCCTCCTCCCCACTCCCTGGGCACCAGACACACTGTGGTCGGCCTCCTCGCTGTATCTGCCAAGGGCGAAACTTCCTCCTTCTGGCCTTTGTGTTAGCTGTATCCCCTGCCTGGTGAGCTCTTCCTCCAAGTGTTTGTGTGGCTGGCTCCTTCTTGTCTTTCAGGTTGTGGCTCAGAGACCACCATACTGGAGAGGACTCCCTGACCTCCTGTTACTGTTTATATCTAGATGTCCCAAGGGCCTCATGCACTCATAGGTGGGGCTTCGGGGGAAGTGATTGGATTATGGGTGCTTAGAGCTGACTTGGTGTTAGGAGGTGGGGTCTGGTTGGGAGAGGTGGCTGGAGGCGCAGCCTAGACGGATCTGTCTCCCTCCCCAGGGCTTCCCTTGTCTCTGCTTCCTGTCTTCCAGACCCTTAGCAGCTTTTCTCTGCCATGCCCCTCTGTCATGCCATCCTGCTTTGGAGCCAGCCAACTGTGGACTGAAACATGAGCCAAAATAATTCTCTCCTCCTTTAAGTTGCAGAAGTCGAGTATTTTGTCCCAGAGATGAAGTGACTAAGATACCGCCCACCCTTCTGGGTCATATCATTCTGTTTAGTTTTCTTTATGACTTATTACTGGCTGCATTCTGTTGATTTGCACATCTATTTGCTTGTTGTGTTCCTCACTAGAATATAAGCCCTTGAGGACAGGGACCTTGTGTCTTATTCACTGCTGTATTCCCTGCGTCTAGAACCATGCTTGAATATTTTGGGCACTCTATAATATTCATCCAGTTGTTTATCAACTCTGCCAGTTAAAAAGATACCAGGAAAAACTCAGAGGATTTTTAAGGGCAGTTAAACCATTCAGTGTGACCTGGGTTGAGTGTCCCTTATCTGACATGCTTGGGATGGGAAGTATTAAGACTTCAGACTTTTTTGGATTTGGGAATGTTTGCACACACATAGTGATATGCCTTGTGGACAGGACCTAAGTCTAAACACAAAATTCACTTATGATGAATTTTACGCATGTAGCCTGAAGGTAATTTTATGGAGTATTTTCAATGTGCCTGAATTTTAGCTGTGACCCATCTTATAAGGTCTGATATGTGGGATTTTGGGTGTGGGATTTTTCCACTTGTGGCTTCCTGTTAGTACTCGCGAAGTTTTGGATTTTGGAGTATTTTAGGTTTCAGATTTTCAGATTAGGTATGCACAGCCTTTACTGTAATGGTGCATACATACATACATGTCATTACCCATGTGTTAAAACCCATAGGATAGCCGGGGATTTAGCTCAGTGGTTCCGGTGCCTGCCTCGAAAGCGCAAGGCCCCGAGTTTGATCCCCGGTACAAAAAACAAACAAACAAACAAACAAAACCCATAGGATGCACCCACCACGGGTGAACCCTCATGTAAACTGTGCACACTGAGCAGTAATGACTTGTTAGTGTCGGAGCATCGATGGGAACCAATGGACCACTCTGGCCCAGGAACGGTGAGTGAGGGGCTGTGAACAGGGAGGGGTAGGGAGTTGTTTGTACTTCCTGCATTCCTTCCTTCATTTTTCTGTGCACCTGAAAGTTTTCTAAAAAGAAAAGAAAAATAGTCTAAATATTTAAAAGGAAAAATATATATTAATGTAAATATGCTAGATAATAAATACTATAATTTTTATTGACATGAAGTTCAATCAAATTTTATTCTGCACACCTGTCTGGGTTCACCTTTCCAGGCACTCATCTCCCTGCACTGTTGCTGTGGGAGGGGTGCTCAGCCCTCAGCCCACATCTAGCACCTGTGCTTTGTGGGGGCCTGGAGAGTGTGCGCTGAGTGGATTGAACTGAATTGCACAAGCACCAGGCACACTGCAGCTCCCCAGTGAGTATTTATGCAGGGCTGAAAGCCTCGGGGAAATCCCATCTCAGGTTCGTGCCCTCCCTGCCACGTGAACTCCAGTACCCTCATCTTCTGTGTGTGGATTCTTCTTACCCCTCCCCAGGATTGCTCTGATTCCCCAGCCTCCTGTCCTGCACACTGTTAAGCCCCAGGCAGGTTAAGGGAGAATGGTATAGGGAGACCTTGGCAGCAACCAGGCTCCAGGATTGGCAGCCATCCAGCTGCTGCATCCGTGCCCCTGTCCCTTGCTAGTCCCCCCCATCACTGTTTGTTAATAAGATCATGCTAAGTAGAGGCACCTTGAAAGTTCCAGCCAGGTCTGAAACACCAGTATGTAGGCCAGACAAGGGAGACCTAGCACAGCTGGTGGTGCGGAAACAGTTTGGGGTGTTATTTGGTCCGCGGGTCCCACAGAGGCAGCAGACCAGCACTCCATAGCAGCTGATGTGACTTGGGGCTGTGCTGAAAGAGGAGGGGCCTCTAGGGTGTGTGCATCTAGATGAGCTCATCCAGAGGGTCAACCCATTCTCGGTACCATACTTCTAGAAGGATGACAGCAACCTGGAGCTGGCCAAGGGAGGGGGCCCAGGCTGACAGTAAAGCCAGGCTATGCCACCAGGTCTAGAGTGGGAGGCTGTGTCACCGCAGTAAAGAAATCTCAGAGGACGGGGAGCTGAAGGGCTTAAAATCTGCAGGCCCACGAGGGTGAAGGTCCTTTAGCAGCACCAGGCTCCACACCAAACCTGCAAGTCCATAACCTCGTGCTTGCTCCACGTTGCAAACTGTGCTGGTTTCTGGGCCTCTCCAGCCCTTCTGTCTTCAGCACGGCATGTCATCAGAACACCTTCGTCTCAAGCTGTTGTGTGAACTGAGATAGGTCTTATGGAAGCCCAGAGAATCACACATGATCACAGGAGGCCCTGGGGGTTAATTTCCTTTTCTGTCCCTTCCCATAGGGCAGCCAGTACTCCCAGAAAACCAGCAGTTCTGACAGAAAACACAGAATTCAGAAAGACAGTCTGCAGGGAAGATTTCAGTTGTTTATAAAACAGGCCAACACGTTTCCACTTCGTAAGTTCTAAATCCGTCATCCCAGCTCCGTAGATCTAAGAATAGTCCCCAGCGGAGCCAGTGTACCACAGCACGCTCTCCCTGCAGGTGACTGAGGAAGTGTGTCCACCGCAGCTCAGCACCTGCTCTCGGCCCAGGGGGCACGGACCTCTGCCTCTCTCGCTTGGCTGTCTGGGAACCTTGTCCAGACTCAGCGTTTTCTTCTGAGACGGCTTGATCGGAACACCCTCCTCGCTGGGCTGCCCCGGCTGCCAGATGAGATGCTGCTGGGGCACGGAAGGGGTAGCAGAAAGCAGAGACCTCTGGCACTTTGCATTGCCCTGCCATGGGCCTCGCTTTCCTCTTGGGCCCAGAGAGATGGTCATAGAGCGCTGGACGGACTGTGGAGCAGCGAGGATCCAGAGGAGGCTTTAGAGTGGGCCCCAGCCTTGCAGCGTCAAACGCATCACCCGGGCACATTTCCACTCATCCCCTTAGCCAAGGCTACTGCTCTGGCTGGGTGCAAGGAGCCAGCCTAAGGAACATCCCTCCCACTGCTCATCCACATCCAGCTCCACCTCCTGCACTCTGTCTCTCGCACTCCGCCATGCTGTCCCACACCACCATGTCAGCTCTCCAGGTCTGGGACAACTTTTGACTTGTTTTATCCTAGTCTCCGTCCCCACCAGCCTGAGGCACCTGCTGCTTTCTACCCAGGTTACCAGTCATTAGAGTTCTTCCTGATAGTGATCTTGACTGGCCGATCCAAGGCTTCTCCCCACCTCCACAGGTTCTCTTTTGGCCCTCGCTAGCCATTCATTCATTTATTATTCACCCACACCACAGCATTTATTGAGTACTAATGTGTGTCACACAGCGCTTCAGGTTCTGGTATATAGACAGTGTTCCCACTCTCAAGGAGCTTGTGTTTTGTCAGGAGAGCTAGATAAATCAGGCAAGGCATTCCAGATAGGAACAGCAAGTGCAAAGGTCCTGAGGTGAGTGCTATTTGAGGAGCTGTAAGGGAGTCAGTGTCACTGTGGTAGTGGTGGAACACAATAGGACATGCTGTAGGAGAAGCCGCTGAAGAGTTCTGAACAGAGCGGTGCTGTATCCAATTTAGGTTTTAACAGGATCACTCAAGCTGCATGTAGAGGACCACAGGAGTGGAGAGGCGGCAGAGAGAGCAATTCTGAAGCTCTTACAAGGCTAGCAGGGAGAGACCAGCGATAGGGCTGGTAAGAAGCGGCCAGATCCTGCTGTGTTCTGAACATTACCTCCCCAAACCCCTCCTTTCCCAGGTCCACATCTTTCCTTACCTGGTGGACACCCACAGCCTCCTCACTGGGCTCCTTGCCTCCCTTTCTACCCTCTCATCCTTTCTCAGGGCTTGCATGGGTTTTGGTCTCCAGGGCACCTCGACACGTGCCTTCTCACGACAGTCCATGCCACAGACCCTGACCTCCAGAGGAATTGCTGGTGCAGGAATGGCTTCTTCCTGCTCCCCTGCTCCTGCCTTGAGGCCACTGTTGGCCCTGGGAAGTGATGGGTGGCTGATTACAAAGGAGCCAACACCAGCAGTGTCTCTGGCCCAGCCAGGCCCAGTGGGGCCATCGACCTCTGAGCCGTTTCCTCCGGGAGCTGCTCCTCTCCTCTCCTGTGACCAGGGACGACATCTTACAGCTCCCCGCTCTGGAGGTGGCTTTGGCCACAGAGCAGGGGGTGAAGCCAGGCCCAGGAGTGAGGTTAACGGCGCCGATCTCAGTGTAATGTGTGCCCTTCCCTGCTGCTCTCCAGCCAGGTGAAAAATGCAGCCTGGCTTAGATCCTCCCAGGCAGCACTTCCTGTTCCTACATCTATGACTCCAAGCCTAGGCCGGTAGCTGGTCTGTCCCTCTGGCCCTCATCCCCTCTTTCCCTGGCTCGCTGCCTGCTCCCTGGATTCACCCAGGCCATTCCCATGGCCCTGCTGTTGCTCACATTGAGTCACGAGGGTGCCTTGGCTGCCTTAGGCCCTGGACTAGACATAAGACCCAGAGAGGGGGAAGTTCCGACTATGCCCGAGGGCCTCGGGCCACTGGGAAAGACAGCAATGGAGAGCGATTACGGGAACCAATGTCAGGTCCACTGTGGTGGTTACTGTAGCTCTGTTTGTCATCACACAAGATTGGGGGTCCCCAAAGTATCCATTAACAGAGGACTGTTTTAGGAAAGCAGGGCTTGACGCTACTATTAAATAACACCCCAAAACTGCATATACCACATTCTCAGGGGCTCTGTTACCATCTCCCACAGGGTTTAGAACTAGTGAAGGAGCCTGAGGTTTGGGAGCCCTTGGATCTGGCCCTAACTAGACCGGATGTGTGACCTCGATGAGCTATTTTACCTCCTTGAGCTAACCTGCCTCATCTGTAAAGCGGAAATGATGACCTCTCAGAGAGTTGCTGTGGGAATTAAGATGGCATTTGCATAAAACTAAGAAGCACCATCCCAAGATAGCAGCCCACATCCTGGCTGGAATTCCTGCTATCATGGCCACATTCCCAGGGACAGCATGGAAGAGGGAGAGAGAAGAGGCAAAGGGCATGTGCCATCTCTCTTTTAAGGAAGGGTCCCACGGGCTGTTTCAGCACATCTCAGTTTGAACCTCATTGACCACACCCAGCTGCAGGAGCCATGGGAACTGTTTCTTCCATGGCTCAGGGGACAGTCAGGAGGTTGTGCCCACACATCAGGTGTTAGTTCATCCTAGGCAAGGCCCTGCAGCAGAGATGCTGCCGGCTCCCAAGCCCTGGAATGCAGCCCCAGCACCAGAAGGCCCTGAGAGGACCCAGGTTGCCAGGTAGCTCAGGCAGGTGGCCCAAGGCCTGGACAGATTTGGGCCTCATGTCCCGTGCCAGGGACCTTGCCAGTGCTGAGGCTCCACTGCCCACAGGGCTCTGAGCTGAGCTGATGCATATGTGGTGACTGTGAGCTCCATCACTTGTCACAGCTATCCTGAGCCCCACAGGCACAGGGCCTTTACTCCAAGGGGCCGGGGAGCCCCTTGGTAGCCCTGGGGCTCTGCAGCCACTGTGCCCTTGAGCCAGCAAAGCTGAATTCTGTCAACCAGGTGAGATTTCAGTATCCTATAGGACCTGGAGGGGCCGGGAACACTGTGGAGAGCCCTGTGTAAAGCTGGGAGCATCCTCCCACCCACCTGCTTTGAAAACTGGCTGTTCCCAACTCCAGCTGGCTTGCAGAAAGGCTCGCTGCAGCCACTGTCCTTCCTCTGCCTCCTGGCTGAGAACAGCTCGCGCGAAAGCCTCTTGCCGAGCCAGAGCACTTTCTGTTCACCGTGTCTGACACAGTGGCCCTAAGTTCTGCTTGTGCCAGTGACACCCATTCAGAAATGTTGGAGGAGGGTGTGACTTACATGCCCTGCTGTGTGTCTTCCTGTTAAGGGGACAGCCAGTCCCTTGCTTTCTGACCTTAGCTGCCTGGTCATTGTCAATGTGTTTAGGAACCCACACTTCTTGTCATTTCACCCTGGGCCTCCTATTCAGGATGCCCTTCTCTCCCCACTGTGCCTTTTGCCTTGACTGTGGCTCCCTTGCTTTTCCCTCCCCTCCTAGTGGTCTGCTTCCTGTGTGGATGTGAGCTGTCACCAGGTGTTGGCACTGGGCTTCAGCATTAATCCCCTTGGAAAATGTGAGGTCATTGAGACCTAAGTGCCTTTATTTCACTGCTGTGTGGTGGGGACCCAGGACAGCCCAGCTTAGTCCACAGGCACATGCCAGGGGTCAGCAAACCACAACCAACTCTGACCTGTGGCCTGTTTCTGAATAGCGCTGCAAGCTAACAATCATTTGTAAAGTGCTATAAAAGAGAATATGTGACAGAGACCTAATGTGGCCTTCAAACCTAAAATATTTGCTACCTGTCCTAGAATAAGTGTGACAAACCCTGGTGTCTAACATGCAGGGATGCATGCACATTCTGGAGCTACACTGCCCAGACTCTAGAACCATCTTTAAACTGTACATATCTGTCAAATGTGGTTGCCTCACAGGGTTGTTACAATTAATGCATATAAAGCACATAACCCTGAGTGAGCTTGCTTTGGCAGTATCAGGGAAGAAATGTCTGGGCCTTTGCCAGGCTTCACCCAGTGGGCATGAAGGTCCTGACTCCAGGGCTCCGGTTAGCCCGGCCCGGAACATGGTTCCCTTTGGCAGGAGGAGGGGGACCTGCCAGCTGCCTGTTGTGCAGCTTCCAGCTGGGAGGTAAGCTCTGCCTTCCTCCCACCCCCATCCCCGCTGTCAGTCAACTGTGCCACTCACCAGGCCCAGGCACAAAGCCCACACCAGGTGTCACACTGGGCCTGAAGGTACCAAGGCTTCTCTGCTCTCCCACCCTGGCCCAAGCGCGGGCCTGGCTGGGAGTCGGGGCCTGGGGCTCATCCTGTCTGTATGCATATCCTCATTCTTGGGCTAAGCTTGCAGACAACTGTTTCCCCAAACCTGAGCTTTTGGCTAAGGAAAAGGAATGGGCAGGGTAATCTCAACCCAGCCAGCCTCCCTCTCCTCAAAGTGTGGTCTGCAAAACAAATTTTTGGGTGGTAATTGGTTAAATGTAAAGATTTAAAAATTCAAGGGAAAGGAAAAATTATGAGAAAAAAAAATGGAAACAAAGTCTTTGTAAATGGGGAAGGGTGGAGGGGTGAAAGGTGCACAGGGAATGGGGAAAAAATAAGAACCAAGATACATCATGTACAGGTACAAGATCCCAATGATAAATGTAAATGTACTGTATACCTAAAATGTACCAATAAAAGAATTTAGGCAAAAAAAAAAAAAGATTTAAAAATTCAAATCATTGAAAAATCAAAAAATATTTTCTGGTCTGGATAGAGATGAAGTTTAAGCTCTTAAAAGCAATGGAAGAAACTGAACGTAAAAGATCAATCAATTTTACTACATAGAATCATAAACAGATATATATCAGAAGATGTAAAACAAAGTTTTAAGTCAAACTGAGAAAAAATTCATGCCAAATATGGCAGAGAAATAATTAATAGCCTTAAAATAAAAATCTTTAGAACAACAAAGCTCTTAATAGGTAGCAATAGTAAATATTCATGTAGTGCTTTGTGTCAAGCACTGTTCTTTGTATTTTACACATATTTACTCATTTAATCCATCCGGAAACAACATTATGAGGAAGATATTAATATCCCCATTTAATAGATGAAGAAACTGAGGCACGGAGAGCTCATAGTGCTCACAGGGATATAGCTAAATAAATGTTAGTACTAGGATTTGAACCCAAGTCATCTGGCTCTCGGGTCTGAGCACTTAAACTGTTTCACGCTAACCAGGAGAAAGAATATGAAACACACAATACACAAAAGAGGAAATACAAATACTGAGTAACATAAGAATTATTTTTCAATTTCAGTGCTAAGGTACAAACTAAAACTGAGAAATCATTTCTGCCTTCAAATTAGAAAAGATCTGTAACTTTCATAATAATCCTGGCAATGCAGGAGCAGGATTGCTCAAGTTGAATTCAGGTGGCTTTTCCTGAAAAGCATTCTGGCAGTACTCAGAACAGTGCTCAGGAGTGTCAGTAATGTCTGTACCCTTTGACCAAGAATTCCCATTCTGAAAATCTAATTTGAGAACATTAGAGCAACAAAGATTCATAAAGATGTTCATAGCAATGCTATACAAAATAATGAAAAATTAGAAACAACCTAAATATCTGATAATAGGAGACAGGTTAAGTAAATTGTTTAATCTTCATAATGGGCAATTAGGCAGCCATTATAAATACATTTATATAACAAAAGACATGATAAATAAAGTGCAGAGACACACCACAGGCTTCTGAGAGAAGACACTTGCTATGCACATAACAAGGGGAAGAATTATATAAACAAAACACACAAAACTTACAATTCAATAAGAAAAAGGCAAATAACCCAAGAATAAGATGAGCAGAGAATGTAAATAGGCAATCCATAGGATATGTGACCAATAATCATAAGCAATGTTCCATCTGACTACTAGGGAAATGCAAACTAATTAAATGTACTTACCAGAATAGCCAGCGTCCAAAGGCAGATACAGAGAAACAAATTCACGTCCATTGCCGATGGGAGTATAAATGACTACAGCCACTTTGGAGAGCTATTTGGCCATATTGAGTAAATTTAACCATGTGATTCCCCATCTCATGGATGCTGCTAGGGATCACCCTGCACAAAACCACCATTTTCTCTCATTGGTTTCAATACTGTTTATAATAGCAACCATATTAGTATTGTTATATAAGATTATTATATATGATAACATTGCCTTATAATATTTCATTGTACAGTAGCATTGATGTCTTATTAAAGAACTATCCATCTCAAGGGAATATGATTTTACATAATGAAGTACTTTGCACAGTTAAAGTGAATGAGCTAAATCTGTAATCTCAGCTCAGATAAGTTTCTAAAACGATGCATATAAAGAGCAAGTCACAAAAGATGAATATATGAATGATACTATTTTCTTAAATCTTTAAAACAAATTAAAAGTATTACATAGTATTTAAGGACATACATGTAGAAAACTATGTAAGTACAAATAATGTACACCACCTTCAGAACAGTGGTTGCTTCTGGAAAGGAGAAATGGATGGAGGGATAAGAGTGGGAGGTGGGGCTTAAACTTTATCGCTTTTTTAAAAGGTAGATTTGAAGCAAATATAGAAAAATATCAATATTCTTAATTTAAGTGAGGATATATGTCTTTCTCTTAAATTATATTCTACATATTGAGCCTTTCTACATATTGGGCTATTTTAAAATTTCAAGCAAATTATTTTTAATTTACTTTTTTAATACTTTGCAATTCCATAGAGAAATGTTTGGATTATAATGTTAATGGATAAAAGCAAGACAAAAACACATACAGATATTTACACATTTTACAAGTTAAAGGTTTGAAAGAGATACCGAAGATATTCACAGTAGTGGGCAATATTCTACTAGTCTGCTTTCTTTACACACATCCTCTTTTCCATTTTTTCTTTTGCTTGGCATGAAGATGTATTTTTTTATATCCAGAAGAAATTGTTAAAGCAACCACAGGAAAATGTGAAGGAGCTTAGCCCCTTGGAGAGGGTCCAAGACCTAGGAAGAGGATATGACAGGCTGAAAGCATCCTGAGCTATCGTGTGACCTGGCCTCGAATGTTGGCCTGGCCTCTTTCTGCCTGTGTGACTCTGAGTTTGTTCATTCCTTTATCTAGCCAACAATGAGGTGCTCTTTTTTTTAATTTTTAAATTTTTTATTTTTTGGTACTGGGGATCGAAGTCGGGACCTTGTGCTTGTGAGGCAAGTGACGGAACCACTGAGCTAAATCCCTGGCCCAAGGTGCTCTTTTTATTGAGAACCAGGCACTGTGCTGGAGACACAGAATGAACAACAAAACATGCATGCTTCCTCCCTCACTGCAGAGCACAGGCTACTGAGGAAGGGAGGATAAACAGTCGCCACACAGATCATACATCACTACAAAGTGTGTGATCTTCATGAGGAAAAGAACAGGAGCCTAGGAGGAATGGGTAGCCAGAGTACCCGACCTCTGAGCAACATTTAGACTGGAGTAAAAAGGGTGAGGTCTGAAACCCCTAAAAGTTGGGACTTTTAGAGAAAGGAAGGCCTTCTGGTGCATACTTGAGGAACTGAAAGAAGCCAGGGTTTGGGGACGCAATGAGAGAGAGAAAGGGAGAAGATGGGGAAGAATTGTATAAGGTAAGACCAACAAGAAAGGAGCCAGATCGCAGGCCAGGGAAAAGCCTGCTTAAGTACCATGGAAAGTCGTGGAAGGGTTGGCTGTGTGCTGGAGGCAATGTGAGGTTAGTTTGCAATTGTCAGAGATCCCTCTGAAGACCAGAGTGGACGGTGAGCAGCCTCATTAGTTAGCTGGCTGCTGCTGTGGCCCACGTAAGAGATAACAGTGGCCTGGGTCACGGTGGTGGCAGTGCAGATGGACAGACAGAAGTTTTTAGATCTTCCAGGAGACAGGGTTCTCAGGCCTTGGTGATGGGTTCCATGTGGGGGTGACCGTGAGTGTAGGGCCAAAGGGAAGCCAGGTTTGGAGCATGGACAGTTATGGGGTGGTGGGAACAGAACACAATAGAACAGCAGCAGACGTGGGGACAGGAGGGGACAGCTAGTGTGCCCCCAAGTATTGCTGAGCTGTGGTTTCTTCTTGTGTAAACTGGGGTCCATGATGGCACCTGCACCATTGGGGTGAGTGTTTTCCGCCCTGTTACCCACACCCACTCTACAGTATCTCCCTCTTTCACAGGTGGGGCGTGTTATTCCTGGGGCTGGAACGAGCATGGCATGTGTGGGGATGGCACTGAAGCCAATGTCTGGGCCCCGAGGCCTGTGCAAGTCCTGCAGTCGGCACCAGGACTCCTCGTGGGCTGTGGGGCCGGCCACTCCCTGGCCCTCTGTCAGCTGCCAGCACAACCTGCTGTGGGCAAGGATCTCATCACTTACCCTCCCTCAAATGCCACTGAGGACACCAAATCTCAGGAAGCACTGGACAAAGAGAAATTGGAAGAAAAGACAGAAATTTCAACCCAAAGCCAACCTGACAAATCCAGAAGTGATAGAGAACCTTTAATAAAGTAGTTTTCCCTGAGACTCGCTGTGTTGGGCTGTGAGGTTGGCCTGAGCCAACAAACCAGAATGGTGGGCAACTGCTTGCCCCGTATCTAGGCTCAAGGAGACATCCTTTCTACTCAGCAGGTAAGAACCAAGGGTTAGGTCTGCACCAAAGGACCTGGAAAACTAAAACTCCAGCAGGAAGGCTCCAGCCTCCCCAAACTGGTGGAGACAGAAAACCCAGCTCTAGCCCCATGGTTGTTTCAGTTCTGCAGCCTTTGGTTTGCAAAACAGAGGGTTCTGGCAGCCTCAAGCCTATCCTGAGGTTTTATTCCCAGGACCCAGAGCATGCGGCATGCCTGTTCAGGGATAGTGAGCTACTCTGCCTGGGAACTTAAGGGAGGAAGGAAGCCAGGAAGACCGCTGGTGACTAGGCCCACAGGAGAAGACTGTGCAGTGGGGGTGTGAGGGAGTGAAATGAATAAGTGGAGGGAAACAAGACTGCTGGGAAGAGAACCCTGGGGCACATAAAGGAATTTAGAACCAGTGAAGCTCTTGGGAAGGCTTAAGTCTCCATCCAAGCCGGACAGGGTGGCGGAGCCAGACTGTGTAACCGTAATAGCCAAGTGATACAGTTTCTGAGTTTGGGTCTGTGATAACTAGGCTCCAGTGGCTTTAGGAAGTTACAGAATCCTCAGACATCCAAGCTGAAGAACATTTCATCTCCATCTAGCCTAGTGGCTTTCTCCTGCATTCTTCAGAGCCCGGGAGCCTATGGAGGATCAGTAGCCTTCTTATAGAGTGTGGGGGAAAGACTGAGGAGCAAAGGACTGGATTGCCCAACTCCACTTTATTCAGAGCAGCTTCAATTTTCTCCATATATTATATATTGGGCTTGTCAAATGGACAAGGTGAGAAAGTTTTGAAAATTACTGATCTTTTCCAACATTTTCATTGTTCATATGAAGAGGCCATCTCAAGGGCATATAACTCTTGGTCCAGGGTCATGACTAAAAGTGACCCAGCATGCCCCTGAGCTAGATAATGGTGGGATAAGAGTAACCCTGGGGCTAGAAGGGGATTCAGCTTAAGAGAATCTGGCAAAGGACAATTCTGAGTTCCCCAGGTCAGAGCCTAGAGACCACTCACAGCCATAGGCAGATCTTGAACACCAGTGTGTGGAGTCCTGCTCCCAGTATTGCATCCTAGAAATATGGTGGCCATAACCAGCAAAGTCCTTGGTCCCTCACCTCCAAGAACCAACTCGAGCCAGTGCAGCCTGTGCACTCAGAGCTGGTATTGCCAAAGTGACCAGGCCCATTGAGATAGAACATGTGGATAGCCCAGAGATGATCCATATTGGAGCAAGCCCAAGGTTACTGGCTACCACCCACGCTCCTACAGGCTGTGTTCTGCATCCAACAGGCCAGAAAGCAATTCCAATGGGACAGCACTCAGGCCCATACCTCATAGGCAAGTTTTTGCTCACAGGGAACCAGCACAATCTCTCCCACAAGATTGCAGTGCAGAGCTCCCTCTTACCTCTTCCAGTACCTGCTGGAAGAAATCAAAACTCCCAAGTTCTCTGCTGCTGAATCCTAATACTTCTTCCAAGACCACCTTAAGGGCATCAGAAAGAAGGGCTCCTTTCCAGCTGAAACAAGATCAGGTGGTGCATCAGCCCTAAGCCCTTTGATCTAGAACCTCATTCTCTTGGAACTGAATCAGATTCTTCTTGAAGCAGCAGAGCACAGATGGTCCACACATGGAAGAATGAATGGCTCTGGGCAGTAGGAGACCCCATAGACTACTCTGTCACCTCTGGTTCATCCATTCCACCCTTCTTGACAGCAGCATCAGAAGAAAGGCTTTCCCCAAGTCACCTCACTAGCTGGCTCTGGTGAGTGTCCCGGAAGCCCTTGCCACATGGTGAGTAAGGAGTATTGACAAGTGTCTCCCAGATTTTTTTCTGAGTTAGTTGATTGGTATTGGGTCATTCTTAGACTTTGTAAATGTCCAAGCCTCCGTTCCTAATAGACCATGATCTCTTTGAGTCACAGGACCAAGGTCTCAGTCAATTCTAGAACTCTTCATCAAGGATTACTCCTGGTACAAAAGTGACCAATACAAGTAAATGAATGAATTCATCTGTATACCTGTAGGGTCACCATGAAGTGGAGAGGTTAAATCAGTGGCCTCTGTGACACCCTCATCCTTACTCATCTTCTGTTTTGTCCCACTTACCAATATTTGAGAGTTACGCTGTGGATATCATAGCCATTTGACAGTCAGTGGCACTGTCACCCACCTGGTTAGCTAATGGGCCATAGGAGCGAACTTAAAAAATTGTTTTTTATGATCAACTAAGTAAATTAGGCTTCATATTTCTCCTTCATGAAAAGGAAGAAAGTGGACAGAAGAGAGGAGCACCCTCCCGCGTGTGCTCATAGGCCTTTGGCCTGGCCCTTGGAGTGATTGTTGAAGGACCAGCATGTCCTAGATGTTGGTGAGATGTTTCCGTCTTGCCTGCCACGCTTACTCTCCCCTTCTGATTACAAGTACCCCACCTGCCCCTCCCCACCCCCGGCCCAATGAGTCGAGGGCCATCCGACCAAGCTTAGATGAAATGGTGCATAGGAATCCAGGCCTGTGTGAAGTGACTTAGCGATCAACTGAAGTTAGTGGGGAAGTGCCAGAGGGGTGTTAGAGGGAAAGTGCTCCAGGTCCGGGAGCACAGAGGGAGGTGGGCGTGAGGAGAGCAGAGGCTATGGTCGTAGGGTGAAGGGGCACTTAAGCGGGAGACAGAGGTGGGCCAGCTGTGTGGGGTGGGGAGGGTGAAGTGGCCCCTTCTGTCTTACCCATGGTACTTCATGAAGAGGGCATGAGCCAGGTTGTGAGGGACTGGGACTTAGGACCAACAACTCTACTATTCCCATCAACTCTGCCTCTAAGGGCCAGCCCCAGGAAACCCTCAGTCACTGTGAGACAGTTTAACCCGAGCTCTGGAGTCTAAGACTACTGGAGTTAAAATCTTGACTTCATTCATTGGCTGTGTGGTTTTGGGCCAGTTACAGTATTTTAGCTCTCTTTCCTCTAAAATGGGGCTATTGAATTGTGGTGAGCTACCATGAGACACCATTTGTAAGATATCCCCCACATAGTACATGCTCACTGTATGTTAATTCCCTTTTCCCATTAGCTCCCATGTCGCTGAAAACCAGATGCCAGATGGCTTTCCGTCGTTCACCAGAGGCTCTTCTTTGCCAGGACACCCTGGGTAGCATAAACATTACTGTCCCTGCAGCAGCCAAGGCTGCTTAGCTCACACATCCTGAGACTCAGAGATGGTTGTTACAGCCCGGAAGCCATACAACCTTGGGTAGAGGCTCCTCCAACCCCAATCCCTTGGTCCTTGGACTTCACAGGACAGGAAGTTAAGGCAAATGCTTAGAGGGAATGAAAAACTGGTAGATGAAAATTCAGCGCCCCCCTCAAGCCTCCCACCCATAGGATCACTGACTCAGGACATGCTGGGAGGTATAAGGGAACTGAAATCAGGAAAATTGACACGCACTTGTTTTTGACCCTGGGCAGATCACTCCCCTCCCAGGCCTCATTTCCTCATCTGTAAAATGCTAAGATTTACTACAGTGACCTTCAGGTACTCTCTACTTGATTATTCCTGGAACTTCTGATGGAGAAGAAAAGGGTTGGCTCCTCCACTCTCCCCCTCCACCAAAACCAAGTGAAAACCTGAGCAAATCAAGAGCCCTAGGAGAGGACTGTACTTCTGAGATGCCTCCAGGCTGAGAGAGGGGTACTCAGTGAGGTGATCTACCAGGCTGGGCCTGCAAGAGTACAGCTGGCTGGGGGACCCAGACCTGGCAGGTAGACCTCTGGCTCCATCAGCTTCAACAGTGGCCCTAGCAGGGAGGTAGGATGGTAGGGGGACTGGATGCTCTGACCAGATTCAAAGCGGCATCAGTGCGGCCTGATGCGCAGAGAAGTGTCCATGTCAGGTGGACCCCAGAGGCCGTGCTGGTCTTACATCGGATCTTTGGACACCCTGTGCCTTCTGAGAGCTGCCTCCCTCCCCGAGTCCTACAGCATGTGGGACCCAAGGGGCCGTCCTGCCCAAGCAGCCTGGACCAGCCAGCTTCCTCCTTAGGGCTGGCCATCCCCCATCAGGTTGGCAGGAGCAGGAGCCATGGCTAGGGCTTACCCAGCCCAGCCACAGCGAACCAGAAGCCCAGAAGAGAATCGCGACACTGCTGGAGGCAATAAAAACCCAAATCCGTGCTTCATCTCAAAAGTCAGCTTTTTATTTCTGGGGCCAGGGCCCAGGGAGGGGAGATTGTTGAGCTAAGTCATCGTTGCTCTCTTTCCAGGAAATGTTGTGAGGTGCAGGGAAAGCTTGAGATGTTGCATTTTTTTCAACCCAAGCATGTGTTTTTCAAAAATACCACCCCCCCCAACTAATTTTAGAATCAGACCAAAGCCAAGCTACTGTCCTCTGTTTCTGTTGGGAAAATACTATATTTATTCGAGATGCAGAAGCGTGTCTCTGCAAACCTCCAATTGCTTCAGGAAAACAAATCTGCTTTAGACTATACAGAACCATGGTACAAAATTTATTTCTCATGCTCGAATCGCTTTGCATAACATTGGGCATGCAGTTTTTAACTCTGAAGTACTAAATTGCATACAGTGCCAGGTTGTGCCTTGGTAAGAGGGGAGCGCCCCTCTTGTCCTGAACTTCTGGTGCGCTACATACTGGTTTTAAAATAACACTTAGAAAATCCATGTGGCGCTGAGTATTTACTATGAACAATTTGTTATGAAAGTTGGTCACGCTGGATCTACACACTGGTAAGATGACAGCATCAACCTAGACTAGCCGCTGTCTGGGTCTTGGGGAGACGTCTGCTGGGTCACAAGCATGCCAAACAGAAGAGGGCGGCAGTGCGAGTTTCCACAATTCTATTTGAAGCAAAGTTCTCGGTTTCCGCGTGAGAGATGAACTATGAAGGTGAGGTCAATATGACCGATGACTGACCGACTGCCCTTTTCGGAACCTTTCCTTTCCATCTTGTGTACAAACAGGGAAGCAATCCATTCTCCATCCTGTCTTTCCTTCCCAGCCCTCCCACCACCACTCCCAGAAATGTACAGGCTTCTACCGAACGCTGTTACCGTTGGGCTCCACCAATGTGTGTAAAAGTAAAGAGCTCTGAAAGAAAATATGGGACTTTTGCTGTTTCTTTTCATTATTGTTGTTTAGGGTAATCATACAGTTGGAGGGGGTTAGTGGGTTTGGTTTGCTGGGTTTTCTGTTTAACTGCATGCAAGTCATGCTAAGGAACCCCTCCACCCCCCTTCCCAAATAAAATAAACTTTTTAAAAAATGAAAGGAAGAAAAAGAAATCCTCTACGGTCGGTTACCATTTGGCCGTAGAAAAAGCTACGTCCGTCCTAGTACAATGCCTGTGCCACTCGGACTCGTCCGGCAAACCTGCATGGCGTGAATTACTCGGTCCGAGGGTGAGGAGGGGCTGCAGGTCCACCCAGATGCTTAATAGCCACCAGTGTCCTCGGCCAAGCCGCCTGGTCAAGTCACTCTCACAGCCTCTGTCGGCATATACTTAGCAATGACAGGGCTTTCTTTGCAAAGATCTGTATGTAAAGAATACAATTAACACTTGAGCTTCTCTTCTTGGCTTTCCCGTCCCGCTTGGTCCTTAGTTTTTAAGGATAGAGGAGGAAAGACAGAACAGCCGCATGCAGAGGCAGGCAGGTTCTTCTCCAGCTGGCTTGTTTCCCATGCAGCGAGCCAGCCTAGCAGCCTTTTTCTGTCCATTCTGGGGGAACAGGTGGAGTCCCTACTTCTCCTGCTCTCCACATGGTCTCCAATACCTGCCGGGCTTGTGGCTCAGAATCACCCCCAGAAAAGCAAGTCCTCAGCAACTGTCGGGACTCCAGAGAGGTGGGGCTGTGTGGACAGAGGTGGGACCCTGCACCCTCACGCTCCCAGAGACTCTGAGCACCTACGCCAGGATAGGATGGGGCAATGGGTATCACCTGTAGACAGTGGTTGCTGCTGGGCTCTGGCTGCTACAGGGAGATGGGCTGCCTTTGTCCCACATTCCCTGGGCTTCCAGAAGCACAATACAGAGACTCCTGTCTGCTCTTCTAGGCCACACCAACTGACCCAACATTCAAGGGAAGGAGAAAGGCAGCCATGAGACCTAACTGGGCAAGGCACAGCCCCTGGGAAAGGTCTCCCTGCCTCTTTCCAGGGTGGCCCCTGCTCCTGGGCCTTCTAGAGTCTCCACATGGGAAAAAGCCAATTGCAAATGGGACCAGCAGGCCCATCCATGGATGATGCCAAGGATGGCCACCCTCCCCAAGGCTGGTAGCCCTCTGCCATGCAGCACCATGCGAGGAGTGGTACACCGCACTGAGGTCCCAGGGACCTCCAGACAGAGCAAGGAAGCAGGGGCCAGTCAAGATCAGGTGGGCACAACTAAGCACTAGTGACCCAAAGGACTTTTCCTTTCTCAGTGTAGGCTGCCTTTCCTCTTCTAGGTTTGCCTTTGATTTTGAAATGTTTTCTCCTTGCATCTGGTTTAACTTCAAATACTGGAGCAGTTGACAATGGCCACAGGCTATACCAGCTGTTGCTCTCAAAAATCCGAGTGTTTCTCTGACCCAGCCTGTGCCCTCTACCAGCAAGCATCTATGTGCACATGTGAGGCGCTGCAGACATGCACGAGCTGCCCAGCCAGTCTACTGCACCGAGAAAGGCTCGCCCCATCTTCCAGGCCTGGAGCCTTGCACCACAGCACTCTGGATGCCCCAAGCCTCTCTCTCCCCAGCCCATGCTCAAGCTCTACCAGAAGCCTCCTTCTAGTAGGGTCAGCCTGAAGTTCTGACTACTGTATAAGACCTCCCACAGAGGCCACCGGTGGTCTCTCTCAGCCCTCACCAAGCCCAAGGGGCCGCTCACCACACTGGGGCAGTGGCCAGTGAACATGGGGATCTAAGGTGTAGCACACATTCTCTTGTCCACCTTGGTAAGTTCTCTATCTGCCACTAGCCTGGCACACACCTTACCTCTGTGAGGACGACAGCCTTGCCCCCCAACCCTGAAGCCTCACCTCCCACTGGCCTGTGGACTCTCTTTAAAGGCTGCCTGTTCCATAACTCGGATCTTGGATTGCTAAGCTCACAGGTCCTGACCAAGTTATGCCCACCCACCTCACTGCCCTCCTCAGCCAGGGGAGAAAAGAGATCATATTGCCTCCTGGACCTGCCCTGCCCCTGTGGGAGCAGCCTGCAAGAGGCTCCCCCTGTTTCCCTGGGTACCCCTTGCCTTGGGGTCATGGCCCATAGTCTGTCAGCCAGCCCGTGCCAAGCCTCTTTCTACCACCTCAGCTCGATACCAACCGACAGCTGCCTGGGCCTCAGTTCTGCTCTGCCCGCCTGACACCTCACTGGGGAAAGGGGCTCAGACCTCCAGGGGCCAGCCCTGCGGGACTCCCTCCATCTTTGCCCACCTTCATGTGCCTGCCTGCCCCTCAGCGCCCGCCCCCCCCACCCTGCCCACCCATCTGCAGGAGCGCGAGGCGGCCCGGCCGATGCACAGTGCTCCAGCTTCCTCTACATACCCTTTCTCATTCCTCCACCAGGTGGGCACGCGTACTCCCCGGTTGATAAGAGGAAGCAGGGTCCGTATCTCTCGCGGGTGCCCGAGCGCGTAAAGGGCAGGCCCTCATCAGGAGTGAGGGCCTGGTCTATGTGGGGGCAGTCTTCGTTCGCCAGCGCGGCCTTCGCCACCTCCCCATTCAGTTTGGAATCTTCAAACATATAAGCAGAAGCTATTGAGACACTGAAAACTGTTTAGTGAGAGGGGGACAGGCCAGAGGTGGGGCTTTGGCAAAGGGCAGCCCATCCCCAGGATGGCAAAGTGGGCGGGGCACAGAGGAGGGTGCAAGGCTTGGGGAACCTCAGCTCATTCCAGCAGCCTCCCGGCTACCCACAGTGCAGGGAGGGAGGGACTCCTGGGTTTGCTCAAAGTTTGCAAAAAGATGAGTTGGTGATGGGCCCAGCATGCACACTGGGGGCCAGGCCCAAAGCCCAAGGCGGGGCTGATGAGACAGGATGGTGTGGATGCGGTCATGGGGAAAGGGCCAGACACAGAGCTCAGGGAGAGACAGACAGACACGCAGAAACGCTGCAGTCCAGAGAGGGCCTTGCAGACCCCTCTGCAGCTGACCAGAGCCTGGCTGCCTCCTGTCAGCACCCAGGCAGTCACTCATGCTTCCGCAGCCGCATCCAGACCCCATTCGATCCACTCCACTCAGCCCCCATTTGGATCCCATCTGATCACTTGATCCATGCGGTTGTCACCCCTCACCCCTCACCCCAAGCGATTGCTCAGCCTGCCCCCGCCACTCCAGATGGACTCATCTGGTCACTCAGCCTTCTCATTCTCCATGCAGACTAGGCTTCTCACATCTGCTCTGTCCCCTTAGGGACCCAATCGTGTCACTCTGTGGCTCTGTCCTCCATATAATCTAGGCCTGGTCATACCCTCTGCTTTGACCCAAACTGACTGATTCCCCATCCCCTGTGGTCACACATTTCAACTCTGTCCCCACAGGGCCCAGTCTGACTGGTCCGCCCTATTCGCATGCACACTAGCCCTGGTCACTCTCTTTACCTGGCCCCCGCTCAGACCAGTCTGACCCCTTCATCTGCTCCATCCGCACGCAGACCCATGACAGCACTCAGGCCGCTGGCTCCCCACACATACTGAGCAGGCGTCTTCCCCAGAGGCCCGGTCAGCTGCACAGCCACATGGGGATGTAGGCATGAGGCTGTGGCGGGACACGGATGTGGGAGGGGCTCCCATTCCTGTCTCTTCTGTCAGTGTCCCCAGCAAAGCAGAGCAAATGGATGTGTAGAAGGCAACAGCGGTTAAATGGTCTTGGGTGGGGAAAATTTGAGTCTTGGCCTCTGTGGTAGCCTGAGAAGGAACCCAGGAGGAAGTCTGGGGCCATCTTTGGTGGGGGCAAACTGTGGCCAGAGCAAGGAGCCCTGTGGCTCCCAATTCCAGTAGCAGAGCCAGGGAGGCCCCAGGCTAGCAGGGGCGGCTCTGACTGGCTTTGACCCCACCCCATCACTCTTGGGGTCTGCGCCCCATGTGCTCTGTCCTCAAGGCAGAATCCTGCTGGCCAGGGTGGAGCCAACTGAAACAATGCACCTAGGATGAGCCTCAAGGGCAGGCTGGAAGAAGGAAACCAACACCGGCCACCGCATTGCAGAAGGCACTGCCTAAGGTTAAAGAGGGGCAGCTGGAGACAATTTCCGCCTGATTTGACACTCCTGTGATCCTGCTCACATCAGTAACTGCACGAAGGAGTGATCCTTTCCCGCGTGTACACACTTGGTGTGCACGTGGATGGGATCGACACCTGTGTACACATTGTGTCACTACAAAGAGGCAGTCAGTCAAAAGAGAAATGGACCAATCAGGTTTATTCATAAAGCAATCCAAAAAATCCCATCATAATTTTGGAACTTAAAAAAAAAAGTCTCTTGTACAAGATGGCAAAGCATTTCATGTACAGTGCGTTTCTTGACAAACCCAGGGGCTTCACTCCCCGATTGCTCTGAACCGGAAAGGCCAGTTACCAAGGAAACTCTGACACCGTGTGACTGGGGCTGAGGGCTGCCTAGTGCGAGGGGGTGGGTCTGCTGGCACATAGGTGCTCACAGCCAGGCCGGGGAGGCCTCCTTCCCAAGGGTCTCTGGCCTGGGAACTGCATGGCCATGGAGGGGTGAGGGTGTGGAAGTTGGGATCCATAGTGCCCCCATGATCCTTCCTCCAGGGGCAAACAGCGGGCCTTCCAGGAGTGTCTGATCTGGAGAGGACTTGCCGTCTTTCTTGGCCATCAGCTGTCAGTGCAGGGCCCACAGCCTCCAGTGCTTGTCCAGGGCAGGGGTCAAAGGTGGCTGCCCCTCTCTGCCTCTGCCTCCACAGCTGTGCACCCTGAGACCCCTCCTCGGCTCTGTCCCCAAACCCCTACCCCAGGGCTCTCAGAACTTTAAAGAGCCCAAAGTTGGGCTGATTTTCCCAGAAGGTGTAGGGGCAAGAAGCAGCTATCAGGGGTGCCTGGGAAGGGAGTTTCCAAGACAATCCTGGGCCTGCTCCTTCTCCCAGCCCTGACCTCTGAGGGGGGCTATGACAGACTATGTTGGTTTACCTGCAATTGGGGATGCTCTCAGAAGCTGGGATCCTCACCCCAAACACACTCCGGTGGGAAAAACCAAGGAGGGGCCAACTGTCTAACCTAGGGAGCTTGTGAAAAGACACAGCTGCAAGCTTCCCAAGACCTCCACCCCATACCCCTCCCCTGCCCGGGTCCCAGCCTTTGGGTGAGATGGCAGCCAGGAGCCTCGGTTCCCACCCGCTTTCCCCAGACCCCACTAAACCCATAGGCCTGTGATGATGGAATGAAAACATGGGCAGCGTCTCAGATGGTTTCCAGGCTTTGAAATGGGCTGAGATGAGCGTCCACAAGAGGGTCATTTTTTTTAAAACTTTGGAGCAAGGAGAACCTGAGTGGCTGGGGCGTCAGCCAGCAGGCTGGCTTTTCTGCCCCATCTTCAGGCACCGCCCATGTACTTACTGTTCACACCAGTGGCGGGCGCCAGGGGGCGCACGCAGGGCTGGGGTGGGGTGGGGTGGGGGGTGCTGGGCATGTCCTTGGGTTTACCCCCGCCCCTGGGGTCTGCCCAGCTGGGGACTCAGGGGAAAACGTCCCAGGCTAAATGGGATCAGTCTGTGAGACACAATCACAAGAACCAGCACAAGTCATGCAACAAAACGAGGAGAGAGAGAGAGACATGATTAGTGGAGAGAAAGAGAGAATGTGAACAACATGGAAAAGAACACCCACACCTGGCTCTCAGTCAGCTCATTTCTCCACTGCACCCCCTTAGCCCACCAGGGACAATGAGGACCCCACTTAGGGTCCAAGCTGCCAACCCTACCTGGCTGCTGGATCCTGCCTGCCCAACACCGACCCCATCCCACCACCCACCCTGCCCCATGGACTGGCACCGCTCCCTGGGCAGCCACCACAGCCCAGCAGGGGACAGGTGGGGGACCGGGACGGGGGACTTTGGACTCTGCTCTTCTGGGAGAAATGCACCCCCCAGCGATGACCCAGAGGGTGCAGTAGTGATGCCTGGCGGCCCAGGAAGGGCTTGTCTGGGCCTTGCTGTTGCCCAGGGTGCAGGAAAGAAGCTTGGCCACTACCCTCCCTCCCTGCCACACCTCCTGCTCACCTGGATGGGACCCTGGATCACAAAGGACCGACCCATATTGGAGGAGCAGATATGGACAAGACGCACATGAGAGGACATGGCAGGATGGCAGTGCTCTGGGCTGCCCAGAGCAGCTGGCTGGCCCCTTTTGGGAAGAGGGTGCAGCTTCTCCTGGGTGTTCTGCCCTGGCCTCTCCCTCCATGGCCCAACCAGCCAGGTGAGAACCAGACCCTTGACAGCCCCAGGACAAGACCCTCCAACACGGACACCACGCCAGCCACGTTCCAGAGGAGCAGACTGGGTCATCCCTGGGACAGACACACACACACTGAAGTTACAGGAGTGACTAAGGGGGGAGGGAAGGGAAGGAGCTGCTAGATGCCTGGGAGGCCTGGGGCTGGGGGTGGGGAGCCCTTGGGGTCCAGTGCACTGCACTTGGGTTTAGAAGTGGAGCTGGAGAATCCTGCAGGCTCTGTTCTCTACAACCACAGTGCCTTCCTGGCCTCTGTCTTCTCCCTCACTCTCACAAACTGCCTCCCGACCCCACACCCATCTAGTGCCTAGGTACAAGCCGACAAGGAGGCCATGGAAGGAAGGCCAGGGCGGAGATGGGGAGGACACCCCCTCTTGGTGACAGATCATCCGGGTCTCACACACAGCTTGTGGGGAGAGGAGGGATCTGGTGATGGACAAGGTGCCGAGTGGGACTGGGGTCTCTGGGCAGAGCCAGGAGGGTGGGCTGACCACCAGGACAGCGCCCACACCACTAGGGGAAGTGAGTGCTGGGGGGGATGGGAACAGGCATGGCGGCTGAGGGGGTGGGAGGAGGGGGAGGGCTAGGTACCCATGCTCCAGAGGGCAAGCTTGGGCAGGGCGGTGCCTCCTGGGCCACAAGACTGCTCAAATCAGAGCTCTCTGGGTCCCTGAAACCTGGAGCCGGGTGAGGTAGCTGCCAGGGGCGGGGCCACTGAGGCTGAGGAGGAGTTGGGAGCCCAGAAGATCTAGTTGTCCCTGGGCCTGGCTGGTGTGTATGTCTGAACACACAAAACTGTACTCCTGTGTGTGTGCGCCCTCAGCACATGGAAATAACGCCACCGCCTAGACATGCAGAAGAATCGGTGCCTACTTGGGGTGAATGGGCATCCTTGGTGGGCTGGCCTGAGAGCCCCATGTTTGGGATGCCAATCCTGAAGGACCCAGGTCCGGTGTTTGGGAGGAGGCATTGGGAAGGCCTGTGTGCGATGGTGATGCCCCTTGGTGAGTGCTTCCACAGAGCTTTCCCCAGAGTCCCAGCAGCTGTCCTCGCCCTAACAATGGCTCCTGAGATCAAATGGCTGCCTAATCCAAAGCCGGGCACCGGCAGGAGCTTCCCAATGACAATCACGACTTGGTCGAGAGCCTTTCCGCTCAGTGCCCTGTTTCAGCCTCTGGGATCTCTGTTCACCCCCATCCCAGCTCAGGACACCCTTCACATTCTCTGATCTGCCTACAGGAATCCTGGAAGGGAGGGTATGGGGCTGGGCAGAGGGTCTGGAAAGCCCCCATGGGAAGAGACCTTGGGGCTAGTGCTCTGGCTGGCACAGCTGTAGGATGGCACCAGAACAGGACCGGGATGGGGTGGAGGGTCACAGAACATGGCAGCAGAGAAGGAAATCAATCATCCACTGAGGGAGGCCACCCCAACCAAGGGGGAGGACTTTTGCACCTGAGGCAGAGCTAGTCTGGGCCCGAGCCAGACCTGGGCGTGGGGATGTCTTTCCTAGACTAAATGGATCTAATCTCTCACATCAACCTCATGCTCACCTAGGTATTCTTTCCTGGCTCAGTCCTGTCGTTCTTCTCTGGGTCATCCATTTCTTTGAGATCCCTGTGTCCACAGAGTAAGTTGATGGTATTCCATGGGTAGAGGTAGACTATGGGCTTTATATCTTCGGACCAGAGCCCCATGATCAACTTTATGTGCTATGTGCAGATTCTCATAAAACTGAGATAGTCCCATAACGAACCACTAGCCATGGAATATCAGAATATATCCCACAGTGACTAGTATTGTTTCAGGGGCCCCTCCCCCCCACCAACCCCCAGGGAGTTCCCGAGAACGCGGTTGAACACTGGTTGGGATGTCTTGTATTGCTGCTGCAGTCCCTATCGCTGGACATGGAGAAAACCCTCAGTGAGAGGTTGTTGTTGGTCTGTAGTGCTTTCATCGAAGCTGCCAGGGTGGTGGCCCCCTCTAGTCCTTTGCTCACCAGCCACTTCCACCAGAAGGTCACTGGCAACTCCCACTGGGCCATCAACCCAACAGACATTGTGAAAGCCAGAGTCATTCCAACAGGTTCCTAAAGATAATTGCTAAACTCTAGAGTGGTGGTAGAGGATGAGTTGGTTCAGCATGCTATGGGGGTAAGTAAGCTTGTCACAGCGGGCTGGGGTGTCTCCAGGAAGGACCTGGAGCTAGGCAGCCGGAATCAGAGCAGGAATACTACTCAGCTATGAAGTCGGGATCTGCAGGGGCTGAGAATCCTTACTACTGCCTTTGCAAGGACCCTCCTGCCCAGATCCCATGCACCATTTCTGCCGTCTATACAGCCTGACAAGAGTCGTGTTAAGGACCAAATCAAAAGCTGTCTGGCACCTCCAATCACACCCGCCCCCGCCCTGCTCCAACACTGGGTTAGTAGCTTGAGTCAAGGACTCATGCTTGACTCCTGCCCACCTGAGCAGCAGCCCCCCTGGCTCCTGCCAAGGCAGTCCTCAGCAACCTCTCCGGCGCATGGCCTCTCCAGAACATCACGAGACCAACCACATCAACCTTCTTACCAGGGGCACCAGTGAGGTTCCTCTAGCAGGCTCTTGCCTTCTGAATGTGGCTGCCCAGCATTTCCCTGGGCCCCAGGCTCCACACCTCAAGATTGAGTGCAGGATATCCAGGGCTGCCCACAGAACTAAGGAAGCAGTCTGACTGAATCTGGAATCATCGCTACAGGGGGCGGAGGTGAAAGGTCAGATCGACATGCCTCTAAGAGGTTTCCTACCTGCTCTGTTAATTTCTAAAATTTCTTCCTGGGCCAGCGGACATGTGTCACTCTGAGTACTGTGGTGCGGAGAGTTTACGACAGATTTACAATAATTGGGAGATCCCAGCTGCGGTGGCCGTGGAATATGCTTCTTTTTTTTCTTTGGTAGTTTCTGCTTAGCCATGGCTAAGGAGTAGTACATCCCAAAATTGTTCACAATGACAGGCACGGGCATGGCGATGGTCAGCACACCCGCTAGCGCGCACAGTGCTCCCACCAACATGCCAGACCACGTCTGCGGGTACATGTCTCCATAGCCCAGTGTCGTCATGGTGACCACAGCCCACCAGAAGCCGATGGGGATGTTCTTAAAGTGCGTGTGCTCACTGGCGCTGGGGTCGTTGGGCTGTGCCCCTATCCGCTCTGCATAGTAGATCATGGTGGCAAAGATGAGCACGCCCAGGGCCAGGAAGATGATGAGCAGCAGGAACTCATTGGTGCTGGCACGGAGCGTGTGGCCCAGGACCCGCAGCCCCACAAAGTGACGGGTCAGCTTGAATATGCGCAGGATACGCACGAAGCGGACGACTCGCAGGAAGCCCAGGACATCCTTGGCGGCCTTGGAGGACAGGCCACTTAGGCCTACCTCCAAGTAGAAGGGGAGGATGGCCACAAAGTCAATGATGTTGAGTGAGTTCTTGATGAACTCTACCTTGTTGGGGCAGAAGACGACACGCATGAGGAACTCGAAGGTGAACCACACCACGCAGACGCCCTCGATGTAGGTGAGGAAGGCCTCTGTCTCGGCTTCCCGGTAGTAGCGCACCTGCGTGCCATTCCGAACGTTCTCAATCTCCGTCTTGTTCACAATGGGGTTGAAGCGCTCGTGGGTCTCCAGGCAGAAGGTGGTGATGGAGACCAGGATGAAGAAGAGGGAGGCAAAGGCCACATACTGTGGGCAAGAAACACACAGTGTCAGAGGGGAGCCCCTCCCACCCCGAGGGGAAACACCTGGGGGTCCCTTGCACTGGGTCCAGTCAGAGGGCCAGACCAAGGGAAGATGCCTGCACAAGGTCCCTTCCAACACCACCCAAGCTGACACACCATGTTTCCTTCCTTAGCCCTCGAGGGATGTGCTCTACTGCCATGCCTGGCTGGAAAAACCCTCCTCCTTCACCGGGAATGCTTTCCTTCCCCAGTGGCCAGCAGGGCCACCACAGGGAAGGTATCTGGGTCCACTAAATACCCTCACTGAACTGTTACCTGACTGGGAAATAAACTATTATATGAAACCACTGACATCTGGAGGTGATTGGATAAAGCATTGAGTTACCTAACTAATAAAGACAACGTAGCTTGCCAGAGCTGCAGTTTGCAAAAAATGAGAGGGGGCAGCCATGGGCCCCTTCAGGGCCACATTTCTCTTCCAGCTGCGGTCTGTTCAGGTGAAGGAGTGCCAAGGCCTCACCCTGCATTCGCAACAGGAGGCATCCAGGCAGCAACTGCCTTGGTTTGCTCTGATGACCCTCCCCAGCTCTGAGGGGAGTCCGAGGAAGCCTAGAACAGCCCTGTCTGAGTTGACCATGACCACGAGGCATGGCACCCAACCTGGCGGGGATCTGAGAACCAAGAACAAGGTGGACCTTCCAAACCACATTCTGGGGTGAAGGTCGGGAAAGGGAAAGGGGAAGGACCATGTTGGCATTTCAGAGCAAAGGAATAGGAGCAGTCTTTACAGTTGACCTGGTCCAAGCTACTGCATGCTACACATGACACGGGAAGAGGCCCGGAAACAGGAAGAGACCTGTCTCAGCTGCTCATTACTGCATATTCATATCCTGTTGATTTAGAGCACCGTATAATTTTTAAAACCTTTCTCCAAGGCTACTCTCAAGTGTGACCCACATGCATCCTTCCACCCACCTATCTTTCTCTTTCTTCACTCATCCGCCATCCTCTTTCTTCCTCCCTTCCTTCCTCTTCCCCTCTCTTCCATCCACTTATCCCTCCTACTTCCATCCATTCATCCATCCACCCACCTTTCCCTCCTTCCCTTTCTTCCACCTGCACGCCCATTCATGAGCCTGCCTTCTCTTTCCCTTTGCTCCTTCCTCTCTTCCTTTCTGTTGCCATTCCACCCATCATTCTTCTCTTTTCTTTTTACCCTCCCTTCTTCCCTCCCTCCCTAATCTTCCCACCCACCTATCCATCCACTCATCCACCTATCCATTGGTTCATTCATCCATCCTTTCTTCCAGGCACTCCTCACCAGCCACCAGGTTATGCCCAGAACAGAGGGAAATCAGGCCTCTGTTGAGCTCTTAGGGAGCTCTGTGCCAGCTAAAGGTGAAGGACATATCCAGAGACTAGCACAGTGCAGTAGACTGGTGACCCCCTCAACCCTGTGAAGTAGGTGGGGTGGAGTGGGGAAAAGGTGAGAGAGAGGCAGGGTAGAGACTGAAAGCCAGGTCCTCCAACCCTGGAGGTGCTTCTCTTAGAGTCCAGATAGTTTAGACCTGGGGGACCACAGTGTAAGACCAGGAAAGCAAAGTGGTGCAACTGGAAGAGGCCTCCTTCTCAAACCCAAGCTCACCTAGATCCAGGGCCCTTTCCATCACCAGAATCACCAAAGCTTCTGGAGCTAAAAAGCCCGTCTCCACCTACTAAATATCTGGCCCATGATTCCCTCTGGAATCCCCATCTTGGAGTCTGCATTCACAGTCCAGACTCCCTGAGGACAGGCCATGCCCACAGCCATGCCCCTGCCCTGGCCTTTTTATAAGTGGAGAACAGGTGCCCTGTGAGTGTCTGAGGGAAACTCAGAGGCCCAGCCCGGCACACTCCGAGCTCCTGACTCTGACCAATGGCAGAGGCAGAGCACCTCCCTGTCCCTTGCTGCCCATCAACCAGGACAGGGCCTCCCAAAGCCTCTCACACCATCATTTTCTGCCTCCTGATTCAACAGGGCCACTGCCATCAGAGCAGGTTTTAGGCCTCGGTCTCAGCCACACAGCTACCAGAGAGAGAGCCTCCCATGGGAATCCCAGCTCTGCCAGTGCCAGCTGCCCATGCTTCCCACCGAGAAAAGCTCAAACTCCTCAGCCTGGCACACGAGGCTCCCCACGCCCTGGCCTCACTTGACTTGTCAGGGTTCTCTCCCTACTTGTAGCCAACAGTCCTGCCACAAGCAACTCTCTGCCATTTCTGATCACAGAGTGGCTTCCCCATCTTTGTGGCTTTGCGCCTGCTTTTTGTTCTACAGCAGAGTGTCCCTGCCAGTTCCTAGCTGGGAAAATCCCATTCATCCTTCAGTGCCCTGTTAATAGCCCTTCCCTTGGGGTGAGGCCCCCACTGGCATCTGTGGTCCTGGGAGGTAGCAAACGAAAGGACTCCCCAAGGAGTCTCCACCCACCCTTGGGAACCAGTGAATCTGCCTCCAGCTCCAGCTCTTTAGTGCCTGGGGGGCTCATGGGAATAGCCAGATGGGGCACCAATCTCCCCAGAGACCTGTAACTCCCAAACCCCTACAGGCCTTCAATGTTCGCATCTTATTTGCCCTCTCACAATACAGATCCTATGGGTAACTGAGGCCCACAAAGAGGTCAGGGCTTACACATTAATGTGGAAAAATCCACATTACCAGAGATCAATGGACAGCCTAGGCCCCATGAGTGGAGAGTGGGCAGCAACAGCCAAGCCTAGAGCAGACACAAGGATTCTGTCTCCAGATAAGCCAGAATGGGAGGAGCCTGGGGCTCTTGCCTGCCTAGGCTCCCTGGTCACCTGCCTTCCTGGCCTCTGCTGCTGCAAGGCCTGGTCATCCTCTGTCCCAGGCAGAGTCCGCCCCAGCAACATCCTGATCCAAGTGGACCCCTAGAGGACTGTGGAGGAAGCTGGTCCTGGCTTGCTCAGATTGAAAAGTTGCCCTAAACCCAGGGATCAGTACGAGGGCAATCAAGGGCTGAGCACAGAAAGGAGAGGGAATGGCACCCAAAGCTTGAGGACCTACTCTGTGTCTTTAATCCTTTCACTGGCCTGGCAGGACAGGTGGCCATATCCCCACTGTGTCAAGAAGTAAAGCCAGGAACCGAGAGGTACAGTTTTAAAGCTAATGATGGAACTGAGATGTGGACCCAAGTTTACTGAGCTCGAGAACCTGAGCTATGTCACCACCAAGCCAAAAGCTCTTGCGGCAAAAGCCACAGCCTCCTCACTGGACAGCTGGCCCCAGATTGTGTCTAGATGGCTGCATCGTGGGGCCTGGGACGCACAGCCCATCTTAGGGCCTGGGACCCTAACAGCCGGTCATGCCAACCCCATGACAGAGAAGGCAGGGGCACCTGGATCCACAGGCAGGGGCCTGGCCATCCCTGAATCATTCTTAGTCTTTAGTGCCCGGGCCTTAATGGCACCTGGGGGCAGAAGCAGCCATGGGTTGGGCATTAGGGACGAAAGCAGACTCAGATGGTCTATCCTGCATCTCTACTTGGTCACCGCCCTGCGGACATAGGGAGAGAGGTCTCAAGTTGTTCAGGGAGCTAAGTCAGAATACGAGGTGGGGGGTGGGGGCACCAACAAGAGCATAGAATGGGGAGAGAATTCTGAGGTCAGCTGAGCCCTGGCAGGGAGGGAAGCCCTGCCTGGCAAGCCCAGAACAGCAAGCTTTGGAGCAGCCTTTGCAGCAACCCTGGACCCGTCATCCCCAGGGCAAGGGGAAGATAGGCTGCATCCCTTATGAGCTGCCTGCCTCCCATTCTCCAGTCACCCAGAGACCACAGACACAACGACCCAGACATGCAATCCAGAATACACACTCTCCTAAGTGTAGGCACTGAGCACGTGAGTACACAAACTACAACCCCGGGCCTCAGCCATACAGAGAGCATACAGGAGCCTTCGTAGAGCTTTCTGAGACCATCACAGCACAACCAGAGATGCCCAGGTGCTACACTTAAAGGTGCACACACGTGCACGTGCATGCACACAACTCTTGTGTATACATTCTGAGGCCCCCAGTGCTATGGCAGGGGTACCACATGGCTGAAAGCACAGACCGGGCACTGCTGCCCACCCTGTTACCCCTGGCCCCAGACAGTGACTGATTGGTGCCTCACCTCCCACAACATGAGCAGCTCCAGCCTGCTCTGCCTCTGCCTCCTCAGCCTTCCCTGATGCCCTCAGCCTGCCAGGATTTCCTGTCACCTGCCAGGTCTTGTCTTCTTTCCCTAGCCACCCCCTGGAGCAGCTGAGCCCCATCACACCCAAGACCTGGGCTGGCTGTGCAGTCAGTCCCTCCTGGGATGCTGTTGAGGTTAGAGATATAAAGGAGGCTATTCCAGGCAGCCCAGGGCAACTGGCACCCCACCTCGCCAGCTCCACTGCTGCCGTGTAAAACATCAAGACCATGCACGTGAGGTCGCCTGACAATGTGGCATAAACCCAAGCTGATAGTTTCTGGCTCTTTTTCCTTTCTAGAACCAAATCACAAACCATGAGAGACCCACCAATTGTGTTCTAGAAAGTGGTAGCCATGGCAACAGAGCAAGGCATCCCATTTCTATGGTAACCAGGGTGGTGAGGCTGTTGGCTGTAAAGTCAGACAAACCTACTAACGATCTGTTGACTTAAGGAGATGTTTTATAAATCACCAAGTTATTTTTATCATAACTCCACCCCTGAAACCACAAATCAGAAAGGCAATTTACTATCTATTAAAATGACCAATATGTGCTATGACTTTCATTTATGAATTATTTATGCCACAGTCATCATTTAAAAATTATGCTTGCCTTTCAGAGTCATTCAGAGGTTCGCCATGAGGATCTGTATTCGTGCAGTTCAGTGTTTTCAGGAACAAGGCACCGCTCATAACATGGTGCACGAACTGACTTTCTGGTCTGGCTGCTTATTCCCTGTGTGACCTTGGCAAGTTACTTCCCCTCTCTGAGCCTC